GGGGCGGTACCTGCAGCAGTGTGAGGTCACTGGGGGTGGGGGATGGGATGGGGGCGGTGCCTGCAGCAGTGTGAGGTCACTGGGGGTGAGGGATGGGATGGGGTGGTACCTGCAGCAGCATGATGTCATTTTCTAGGGTTTTGCTGTCGTACTGCGGGTGGGGGATCTGCCGGCGCACACGGATGCGTTGTTGACTCGGTTCCTGTTTCGTGATGTCGTGGGCTCCAAGGATGACGGCGATCTTGCTGTAAAGGCCAAGAGCTACGCATGGGCCGTTGGGGGCAGGATGGGACGTGCCGAGGGGGATGAGCACACGAGGCTCCCGCTCTTGCACAGCGACGTGGGGGGCACAGGGCAGCCTGGGGACTTCAGGCCGAGATCTCAGAGTCAACCTCTGACATGGAGGAAGATCCGTGGCTCTTGGGGGCTGTGTGAGCTGCGGCCTGGGCAGGGCCTGGGTCTGGCTGGCTCAGGAGGGGGGAGGGGCACCAGGAGTGTTTCTCTTCGGGGGGCAGCAGAAGCACAAAGCCCCTGCCCAGTGGGGTTGGGATCCCAACTTCTCTCAGCACCAGCCCCTTGTGCTGCTGCCCTGAGCTTCTCTCCCTGCCCCCATGGCCCCTGGGTCTCCATCCCCCTGCATCTCTGTGTCACTCCCTGATGGATTCACTAACATGTACATGCCCAGCCCCCCAGCCCACCACCCTGCAGAGCTGATCTGCGGGTGAGACTCCTCCCTGCCTCACACTGGGCAAGGGGCCAAACCCCACCTAGGCACCCTGGAGACAGCCCCATTGATTATCCCAGCTCTGGGGCTGGGCTGTGGGTTGCAGAGGCCCCTAGAGATTCGCCGACACCTCCTGAGCAAAGCCGACCTCTGGGCTCTGCTCCCCCAGCCTGACCCTTCCCTGCCCCCCATGCCGGCACCAGAGCTCCTGGCTGTTCACTGCCCACTTATCCCACCACCCCCATATCCCAGCCCAGAGGCACTTACTCTCTCTGGCAGTGAGCGGCCGTCAGCACAAAGTCCTTCGCCACCAGGAACCCGCCGCAGTGAATGTAACTGGCTCCACATGGTCGTTCCAGACAGGCCATGTAGGGTCGGGAGTGGGGCCGCGCTTCACACCTGCTATTGATCCCTGTTCACGGGGAGATCAGGTTCATACACAAGGCCCCATCCCTGCCAGAGCTTCACTGCCTCATCTCGCTCCCCCTTTATCATGATGTTCTCCCTGGGGGATCCCTGGGCCTGGATCTTGGCCCGTGCTCCTCTCTTCCCCACACTGGGCTCCCCCATGGGGCTGAGGATTGGATCTACAGCTGTGATTATACAGGGGGGGAAATGATGTCAAAAGACCCTGGTGTGAGCTAAACATTGTCCTGAATTCGTGGCTTTGGGTGTCCACCTGATGCCACATTGGGCCAGGGGGACTTTATCTCCCGCTCAGTGAGGGCTTCTGTGCCTCTCCTGTGACTCTTGGTATCTGTGCACTTCCCCTTTCTCCCTGGTAGTCATGGGAACAGGAGTAGCAAGCTGTGTCCCCATGCACAAGGGGGCTACCCACCCCCACTCTCCCGAACGGGGCCCCTCCATTGCACGTTCCCCCACCCTAACCACCAAACCATCCCCTAGCTGGGTCCCGGGAACCAGCCATTATTCCAGCAGAAGCCTCTGACTCTGCGGAGGAGCCGGGATGTGCAGCCAGCCCAGAGAGCACCTGGCTCAGTTCCCCATGGGACCCCGTCCCTGCGTTCTCACCCGCTCCGGTGGCTTTCAGCATCAGTATCTAGGGAAATCGTCAGGCCTTGAGTCTGAGTCCTGGGGGTTTATAGAGCCAGCAGCAAGCTCTCCAGTTGTGGGCCAATCAGAGCTAGCAGGGACCCTCAGAAACCTCAGCATCAGGGTGATGACACCAGGGGCAGAGTTTAGACACAGGAAAGCCTTGTTGGGCAAAGCCCCCCGCCCAGCACCCAGCCCCACCCAATGGGAGCGGAGGTAGCTTTTTTGAAGATTTCTGGTTTCCCTGGGTCTTTCTCTGCTGGGCTCTGCTGCTGTGCCCTGCTGTCCCTCCTCCCTGGCTCTCCTCCGGACAGTGGGGTGCGTATCCATCAGGATGCTGCCTCCTCGCTGGTCATGTCCAGAGAGTCAGGACAACCGATCAGCAGCACGGCCAGGAAATGTTTAAAAAGGACGGGGCCAAATCTCCCCCCAAAGCGCCCCTAAAACCACAACCCACCGAGCTGCCAGCAGGGTAGAGGTGTGGTTGGCTGGGTGGTGGGTCACTAACAGTCCATTGAGCCAGACCTGCCCAGCACCCGGGCAGAAGTTGAGGGGTCTGGCTGGGGGGTGCAAAGTGGGAAGGAGGATTTTGGGGTGTAGCAAGGTGCTCTGAACTGGGATTGAAGGGTTCAGAGGGTTGGAAAGGAACCAGGCATGGAGGAACTGGTGTTTGTCAAAGGGGATGCTTTGACTAGGGCAAGGCTCAGTATTAGGAATT